ATTCAACTGCTTTAAATTTTCACAGAAGCTGATTTGCTTCAGTTGGACAAAAAAATAGAGAAAGTAGCTTAATTGGCTCACTCACTTATTCACTCATACCCTTTGCGCCGAGGTGATGTGTAGGACGGCAACGCGCTTCTTCCACATCTTTCGGTCCTTTTCCATGAGCTTGATGCCTCCTTTGTTCTTTCCCATCTCCTTACTTTCTTTCTCTACTGTCTGCCGCCAGGTGCTGTTGAGGCTGCCCTTCTCGTGTTTCCCTTAAGGTGTCCAGTGTGGAGCAGTTTTTGCGCTAGAGGCTTCTTAGAGGGTGACGTGTCCGATCCGCCTCCAGCATCTCCACATCAGGATGGTAGGCATTGGCTCAGTTCTAAAACGTTTAAAGAGATCTCTCTTTGAGTTGACATCGGGCCAGAAAATGTGTGGGATACGTTGAAGGATTTGGTCTGAAATGTGGAGAGTTTTGATAAATCCTTCTCCGTCAAGCGCCAATAATAATTACTGACCCCCGTTAAATCCTATTGTGCTCCCTCTGTATTACATTAGCGATTTCATTCGAAGAAGATAATTAGGTCTCCAGTTCGGTCCAAGTTTCTAAGGAAAATGGGGGTGGTCCTATTTGTTGGTAGGGGAAATTATCAGGGGTATTTAAAACAAGCTAAAAGACTCGATATCGCTGTAAGCTAACTGCACTGCAATATTAATAATGGTGCACCCAGCAATATTTTTAAAATTGTAGCTGCAAACGTTTTCGATTTTATTGTTTTATTACTTTATTTATTATAATTACACATCTTACAGTTGCAAAATTTTTTTTCCATGAAATAACAATTTTAGTGGTATTAGTTCTGATTTCAACTGACTGATTATAGTCCTCTTCGGGTCTTTTTTTCCTCAAAAACTTTTGCGTTTAATCCCATCACTTTTTCTTCATTGTGTTTAACAAGAATCTCAAACAACTCTTCCTCTTTTTCCTCGACATCCTTTTAACTTTCTCAGGAAATGTTCCCTGCAAGATTTCATTTGCTTTTCGTTTAAATGTTGTCGATGTACATTTATATTCTCTTGCCCCATCAATTGACTGGTGACCAGTGGTTTCTACAATAACTTGTTCTGGCACACCGCTTTGGCGGAACTTCGCCTAAGAGAGTGGCTTGTGAAATGCCCCTAAAATCCTGCGTTTGTCGTGATTTTCTTTACAACATTTCCTAACGTTTCTATTCCCATTGGTTTATTGTATTACTACACCTCTCCTTTCGGTTTGGGCAAAGCACGCAAATAAAATGCGTTAGCACTATTTCTTTGGGCACGTGAGACAAATACTTCTTATTCAGCTCGACTGGGCAACGTTCTGCATTAGCTAAATTTTTTTATGCTTATGGTTATACTAATACTTTCCATATACTTCAAGAATTCACACCCCGATTCATCATGTTTTAGAGATAACCGAGAGTTTTTGAACCTCAAATTTCAGTGTTCCTGCCCAGTCCTCAAAGCAAACTGAACGCCAAAAACCCAAACCAAAAACCGTTCTCGCTACCTAAGAAACCATTTTCCCACAAAAAGTTTTCTTGTTCTTCTCTTATGAATTTTGCCTGATTGACAACCACACCTATTCCTTGTGCAACTTTCTCTTTCATTTGAAAATTCAATGCAGAATGTAAACTTCCAAATGCACAACCTTTTTTGTCAATCAAAATTACATTTCGCTTACATTACTCACGTAAAGACATTTGAATGCTATATATCATTTCATATAAAGTCTTCCCTGGATACCCTTGCCGTCTTCTCTTCTGACTTTGGAAATAAATCGTGCCGAGACAAAATCCAGCAGCTCCGCAGACATTCCATTTAGACCCTCGTTTATTAACGGCTCGCCACCATAATCCTCTTTTAGTACTGCTTCGTTTCTTTCAACTGCCACTGATCGAAGACTTTCAAAACCCATGCCCATTTGTGACAACTTGCTTATGATATCCAACTTTCTTCGAGCTTCTCGCACTCAGAGGAGGGTATCGGTCTTCCAAACCTCTTCTCTCCTAAAGGAAAAAAAAGTAGAAAAGCCTTTGGAAGTTGGCTAAAGTATGGCCTTATAAAAAAAAAAATTTCATCACCTTCAATGATGGTAGATTTCGTGGAACTCGAGCTCTGCGTTATGTACATGGCAAATTCGTCTTCCGAGGAATCCTCTGTCCAATCTCAGGGCAAGTGTACCTTATCAATACAATGTGTATTATACTATGCAAATATTGTTCACATCGACGTTCAGATTAATTCGAGAACACCGTTATCACATACAGGTGATAACCATAAATTACCACCCAGAAAGATGAGAAAAAAGTGTTACGCAATTTCTACCTCCAATAAGGAAATTATGCTAATTTAATTGTTTGCATGCCAACAAATGACAAGAAAGCGCATGAAATCGCTAACATAATGCAGAGAGAGCACAATACGATTTTACCGGGTGATTTACTGATTTCACTGATTTTACTGATTACTGATTTTACTTTTACTTAGGAATTATAATAGATAATTACTGCGGCACTCAGTTATATATCTCATAACATTGACTGCCTCAATAATTATCTATTAACTCTTAACCACACAGGAGGGTTGTCAGGACGCAGCTGTGATAGAATTTGAGCTTAGTACGAGTTCTTTAAGTGCATGAGTGGAGGGGTGCATATTTCATTATGTTGAGCGAGTTTCTGCCCTTATTGAGAGGGCTCTGATTGTCCAGGTCCGTACTCTCATCTGTACTGATGATGCTGCCATGATAGCTAAATCTGTCTGTGTAGGGCAATTCTTCTTTATCAATCTGGACTAGGCGTGTGTTAATATTCAGCGCCATAAGTAGATTTGTCTCCCTGCTGATGTTGATGCGAACTTGCTGTGCAAAAGATGTCAAGGCATCGAGTCCTCTCTTGAGTGTGCGAGTGGAAAGTATTGTTGCTTACTTGGATTTAGCCTGTGTTGTGTTACAGGAGTATCATCACTGACATGCACATTATGATAAATTAGATATTTCCTGGCAGGGACATCAGGAAACAAGTCTTTACACTCTTAAAGTAGCTTCTCCAGGTCTTTGGTGGAGTAGCGTAGTAGATGGGGGTTCCAGCACATCGATCCAAATATATGGTTCTGAATCATTGTGCCCTCATTTTTCAATCTATTCTACTATATTTTATGCTATATTCTATAGTAAACAAATTGGCATCCAACGCATCAATCCATGTATATGATTCTGAATCATATTGCGCTCATTTAAAAAAGCACAATATATGTGAACGTTGTCGTTGGCAAACAATTTGAATCATTGAAACAAAAAGCCATGAAATATGGAGCCAAAGATCTTGATTATAGTAATTGAAAAAATAAAAAATATGTTGTAACACTTAAAGATGGTGAAAATATTGATTTTAGTCATAACAGATATGAAGATTTTCTAATACATAAAGATAAATATGGGAGAAAAAAAATAGAGAAAGAGCAGGTAAAATAAGAGACAAATAAGGACTGACTGTTTATGACTAAAACTAAAAATTGTTATTGGGCTTACAATTTATTGTGGTAATGTATAATTTTTGAGAAAAAAACACTTAAAAATATGTTATAAACATTATATATAGATGGCATTAAGACAAAGAAACAGTTTTGAATGGCTGCATCATAAGAAAGAACCTTCTAGAAGTTCTAACAAATACGATGGACAACTAATCTTCCACACGAAGATTGAAGAAGAGTTGATTGAACATTATGAAAATAATAAACCAAAAACTCTTGAAGATTTTTAAAAATTTGCTGAGTGTTTAAGCGATTGCAAAGAAAACATGTGGTGGGATGATTTTTGTCGCACGCAAGACAAATATGACGACTGTGAAATGTGCCAGCTAATCTAATCAATTATGTTGGCAAGGCAATATCATGACCTTTTAATTCCAGAAAAAAAAAGATCTTTATCATCTGATCACTTGTCTCAGATGAAAGAACTTTTGCCTTTAGGACATTTCACTTCGAAGCAATGCAATGAATTTAGATTAAAAATTTTTGGTGAGTATTTTTTTAAAAGTTCTTATCTCAATGCTGTTGAATGTTGTTTGAATGAACAGCATGTATATGAAGGAGAAAATCAAAAATATCAAAATGTGGAGTTATTAGAAAGAAGGTATCTTAGAGACATTAACTTTTTAAAGTTTTGTTTTATAATGAAAAGGAGCTGATTTGATTGGGCATAAAAGATTTCTTGATGATAGAAAAAACGTTTTGGAAAACCAATAAAGAGTAGAGCAGAAATGTATCAATTCTTGAATGAAATTATGGATGATGATGAAGAAAGATTTTCAAGAGTTCTTTCAGGAACAGAATCGGTTTTGAAAATAGAGTCTGAAGATTCAGAAGCAGAGTCTGAAACAGAGGCTGAAAAAGAGTCAGAAACAGAGTCTGAAACAACCAAAATAGTATTAGGGCCCCGGCCTTACAGACCCTTAATGAGTGAAGAGAGAATTAATAAAGTAATAGAAAGAATTTCCCACGAAGACGTTTTTGGACCTGGGCCTTCCAGACCCTTTACGAAAGAAGGAATTATTTATAAAACAGCAGAAAGACTTGATGAAATAAGTGCCATTTAATTTCGGGGATGTCCTAACGAATAAAATAATTGATATGGAATAATGACCATAAGCCAATGTATCATATCCATTTTTTAAAACGTATCTTTTATCATCTCAGCAGAAGATGAAATTTTGTTTAATTCATAACTGCCTATTTGATGATTTATACTTCTGAAGGTTTTCATTTTCTAGCAATTGAACACCATTGAATAAAGTGTTTTTACAATAAATGTGTGTGATGTTTTTTATTACATTTTTTTTATTCCTTTTGCAGTTTTGTTGTTTTTACTGTCACTTTTTATGTAACTGTACATCTTGCTACTGAGCCCGGCGAATTCTTTTATGGGTTCACCAGCAGCTTCATCTTTGAATTTTTCAATTACTTTTTCATTGGTTTTGTCGTAAAATTGTGATTTCTTCATGATCATCAATGTTATCGAATTTGTTTTTGTCGTCCCAAAAGTCTTTGTAAACGTCTTTTGTTTTTACTTCATATGTCAGACCGTCTGTGTCTGTGAATAAAGGCTTAGCATCATTTCCATATTTGTTTTTTATGTATCCGTCATTAAAATCGTACATTAGTGTTTTCGACAGATCCAAAATGCACATGCCAACATATGCTGGCGTTTTCAATGTTATGGATTCTCTGATTTTATGAACTGCTACAAGATTGTTATTAAATATTTTGCTGCTTACATATGTTGGTTTAGAAACGTATTTTTTAATATTTTTTTGGAGTCAGTGATTAGCTTGACGTCAACTTTTTTTTTCTAATGTTTTCCATTATTTTTCCAAAAACACGGTTGTTCATTGGTTGGAAGAAATCTTTTTCAAATGAATTTTTGGCATTAATTCTTTATTATGTGTTGAAATCAATGTATTGTTTCAACCGTGGAGATTTTTTCAATTGTAAAACTCTATGTACCTTTTGAAACTTCAGCCCCAAATCCATATATAGCTGAAGATTTCTGTCTTGAAGAACATAATTGGTTTTTTGTTGACAATGTTGGAATTAGCTTTTTGACAAGTTCAATGCTGATGTTGTATTTCTGTCTTATTTTTTCACGATAATTGGGTAACATATCTTTGGAAACATTGGTTTTTTTCCTCTGCAAGTGGATAATCATTGTGGCTGTCATGTAATTCTTCCGGATATTCTAAATCTACTTCCAGAAGCAAATCTTTTTTACTTTCTGCTTCATATGCACCCAAATTTATCTTGTTGATGTCTTTTCCATTCAACCATTTGAATCCACCTGGAGGAAGATATTGACTCATCGCCCACCCATAAAAATTTTTTGCATCCAGATACATTATGTATTTTGATTATTCACAAGGATCATAATCTTTCATGTATTTGTTGTTCGCTTTGGAATATCTGTCAGCGATGTAAGAGATGCCACCACGCATTCCTTTTTCAATAAATTGAAACATATCAATGTCTGTCATCAATCAAAACTTTATATTTGTCATTTTCAATATTGCATCCCATGACAAGCCTATTGATGTGAAATAATAGCATGGATCCAATTTGTAGTAGTGCAGGCAAGTTTTCTGAAATTTTCAAATACATCAGAAAGTAGTAAAATATCAGATTTTAAATATAAATCATGATGTCATTTTGAATGCATTCCACACATTTTTAGCATGTTGGCATTGTTCGTCAGTGACATTTTTATTGTTAAGAATGCTGTAGAAATGTTGTTTTCAGGTAATTTTTCGTCAAATTTGTCAAAGCTGTCTATGTAATCATAAGGATAAATGCTTTTATTTTTCACTCATTGGTAGATTCTCAAGACTTGAGCCCATGAATTGAAAACTGTCGATAAAAACAAGGTGTTTTCCCACCATGAAAGCCATGTATTTTTCCATATTGTTTGGAATGGCATTGATTTCCATACTTTTTTTCTTCGCCATGCTTATTTTTTATGTATATTTGTTTGCTATTACGCCATAACCGCGTAAATTATGGAAAATGACTGGGATTTTCACGTCTTCAAAATTCAATCTGAAATAATTGGTGTTACAATCTTGATGTGCAGATCCTCTGTACTTTCTGTGATATGACAGTGATTTCTTACTCTCTGTGTATGTTTTACCACAAATGTGACATTCTTTTGCTTGTTTGAAGTTTTTCTCGTCTTCTTCAGTCACTTTCTAAAATGTTTTTTGGCTATGTTTTTGCAGTTTTGACTTCTTTAAGCATCTTTTCCATGAATTTATAAACAGCATTTTCTCCTCTGTAAATTTTTTCAGGTTTGCTGTATTTATCTTTATAACAACATACTACTTTATAAGCATATCCACAATCTGTGAGTTTTTTATATGCTTCTGTAAATGATTACCTTTCTTTTGGTGCACATGTTTGAGTCTTTTCTGTTATAGCTTTAAAATCAGCATAAGTTACAAAGGCACAGACAATTGTTTGTGAAAATTGTCAAATTTAATATGTTGTCGTTTTTTTGGCATTTTAACAGCTTGTTTTCCATTGATGACAATACAATTTGATTTATGCCTTTCAAGAACTTCTTCTTTGGAAAAACATTGCAGAGAATACGTGCAAAAATGTGTTTTCTCTTTGTGCTTGGTTGTCTGATGTAAAAGAGAATTTAGATTTTTGATGAGATTTTTTTCGCCTTCTGTTATCAATGACAAATTCATGAAATCTGTGAAATTTTTTTTGAGACATAGATTGGGAAAATTTGCCTTTCTTCATAACCAAAAACATTGATGTTAGCATTGTTCTGTTTTCACTTTTATTATATTGCTTTATTGATACAGGAAAATTAAAGCCAGAATAATCTAAATTATCGACAAAAGATCTGTCTGTCTTTTTAATTCTTTGCGGATCTTTTTTTGTGGATTCAAATGCCTGATGTGACACCATCTAAAGCATTCATTGTCGTTATTTTTGGAATTGATTAATCCTTTTAAAGAATTTTGCAATCCAGGTGGAAGTTTGATATATGAAGATCCATTTACTAGATTGTATTGATAATGCTTCTCTAGTGATGATTGACAGATATGATTATCCATTCAGATACTTCCGACATCCAACCAGACATCTTATTTATTATCTCTTGACTGGTGATTTCAATATCATCCTTCAAATCATGCACATTGATAACAGTTTTTAGTGTACTGTTGAAATAAGCTGTTTTTGTTATAATTCCTTCTTGTGTTATCTTTTCAAATGTGATACTTATGGTTTCAACGAATTTCAAACCTTTCATCTCTTCCAATTCTTGTGATATATGGCTTTACTGGTTTCAGTATTTTGTTTTAATGAATCAATACGATTTCTGATTGATATCCTTTCAAAGCTTTAGCTTTTTCTTCTATTTTTTTCTTGGAACAGCAACAGGTACTGCATTTTCTTTAGTTCTTAGTTTTGGCGTCGGTTTGTAATCATCGTGGAAGAATGATGTTTTCTTCATATTATTGAACCATCTGTTTGACATTTTTGCGTGGTGTTGGAACAGGAGCTCTCCTTTGTGGTTGATTTGATGGAGTTTTATTTAATAATAGTACTTCGATCAATTGAGTTTTTTTCAATTGATTGATTTTTTTAAAGATATGACCTACTCATATTATATGGTGAGATAATATTTTTTGTTATACTTTATGTGTTTTTCTTTAAGTGTGGCTACATTATAAAGTAAAATATTGAAACAGCCCAAAAAAGGCGCCATTTCAAGAGTGTCAAAACTATATATTCTACGACTGATGCATTTTGGTCTTTAAATGGGCCCATCTGTATACCAAGCAATATGTTTTGTTGCATTTTTCAGTGCCATGAATTATTTAACATGTGTTTTGTTTTTGATGTTGCTATGGCTGCTTTGCGCTCTTCTTTAGTGTGATATTTTATCTGACCGCCTCTTTTTCTTTTGACTTGATTCTCCATAACTATGTATTATATTATTAAATATTAATCAAATCTTTGATTGGTGTCCAGGTGTTGAAATCGTCATCATATCCTTTCCATTTTACGAGGGCCTGTTTCTTTTTGTAATCCTTTTTCATGACCTTGTCAATTTTGAAGACTTCTTGTCTTTCTTCATTATGCAAGTCTTTTATTTTGTATGTGACGGGATTGGTTTACTTTATTTTATATATCATAAACATCTATTGTTTCCAATTTGGAGTGTATCCTTTTCCGAATGTCTTTCTTTTGTGTTTTGATATTCTCACTTTGTTATTGGCTTTAAATTTCACGATCGGTTTTGTTGATGTGTGCATGTCACCAAACATGTAGAGATACACGATTCCTTTATTCTTGTTTTAAATTGCTTCTGTTGGTGTCATTTTAGTGCTTGAATGTTTTGTGTTGTTGTAATTTGTTAATATTTGTGGAAGTATTTCAAGACACTGTGTGTCGGCTTGAACTGTGACTTGCTACCACACTCTTTGTTTTATTGTTCTATTCCATCTTTCGACGACAATGGACTTTTCTTCATTTTCAGTTGAATATATTGTTATGCTATGTTTGTCTAATGTCCTATCAGTGGGATATCTTAGACTGGACTGTTTCTTTCCAGCAGCAGGCCGTCTCCTATTTGCTTTTTCTTTTTTTTTTCCTTTTTCCAATAGTATTCTGATTCCATGATCCGTAAAATGGTGGTGGTTGTGCTGTGCCCATTCTTGATGCTGCTCCACCACTTGTTTTCTTGATCAAATCGAGAGCTATTGTAATTCCAATACTGGCCAACTTTGTTCAAATTCCTTCACCATACTGTTGTTGTTGGCTTTATGATTAATGCTCCTCCTGTCTGAGCACTTTTTTGGAAGTCTTCCTTCTGTTTTGCCGTCAACAAATGAATAATTCGAACTAGTTTTTGAAGAGCTTCAAAAGGGACTATAAACGGGCCAGTATGCATTCCACCACCAGAAATCTTTTTGACTATTTGAGAAGGGCCTTCGGATGTTAACCCAGTAAGGGTTAAAAGACCTAATGTTTTTCCAATTGTTGGAGGCAATGTTCTTCCAATTGACAAAATTGATGATGAAAGTGATCCTCCAACATGATTTCTTATGTTTGTTTTTGTCAGTTTTATATCCTTTCTTTTATGCAACTACCGATTCTTGTTCCATCTCATAGCAACTGTTTTTGGTACATCTAATGTATCAGGTCCGGACAATGAATGATTTAATCTAAAAACCGTTTGTATGTTGTGGAAAGCATTGGCAAGGTTTTTCTTTTGGTTTTCAGACAACTTTTTTTTTTTTATTTCATTAAGTTGTGCCATAACTCGTTGACATTTATGTTACATAAATATGCATATTTTTATAACATATTAAATGAAAACTGAATGTTCAAAGATGTTTTAAATTTAAATTTACATTCATTTACACAATTACTATTTCGTTTCCAATTTTATCTATTTTAACCATTTCTTCGTAGACTACAACTGCGTTTATTGTGAATTTTTTATAAGAATTTGCTGATAGTCTGTATCTGAAAATCAACCGTTTGGGATCTCCAGTCACTTTTTCAGTCTGATAAGTCAAATCAAAATATATTATTGGAAACAAGGACTTGTAGTTGCTCAGATTTAGCTGTATGCCAAAGTTTTCATCGTTCTTTCGCATTCCATATGACATCAGATTGTTGAAGATTCGGACTTTTTCATCACTGTCATATTCTATCTCAGGATAAAACACACCATTTCCATATTCAAGTCTGCAGTTGTTCAATGAAGCAGCAGCACCACCTAATGCAAATGTATTTGCAGCTTATGGGGTGTTCTCTAGCTGCCTATGACCATTTGCATTACGATAGGCACTTTTGAAATATGTAAATACATGTTGGACATTGTCGATTGATGGTGTAACCTGGAAAAACCCTGAAGTTCGTGTCTCTGCTGATACCTCAAACATTTCTCTCATATTTCCACTTTGACGCTGTTAAAACGATGACACAAAATTAATGAACTCTTATTAAAGTAAACCTTTCTGCTGGATTCTTAGAACCCAAAAATTAAATTTGTTGACTACCACTCTTCCAGCAGCTGTACAACTAGCCAGATGAATCAATTCACTATTCTGCTGCAATTCAATGTAATGTATGTAATTCCACTTGTACCTGCATCTGTGGCAACATTCTGTCTTCAAGTTCTTCAAAGAAGCTGCATCTATTTCAGTGGTATTATTCTTGCAGAATTTTTCGACCCACCCGTGCCATCATCGTTCACAGCCCGAGTCTGGACTCTTCGAGCTTCAAAACCAAGATTGGTGTCCGCAGTTGTGTCATTAGTGTCTAAATACCAAAAAACTATTTTTTGCCACAGTTCTTGAAAAGTCATCAGAATACTCAAGAAGGTTCTTGGCATCCGTGACAATGTGGAGATTATTTGTGTCGCACACGATTCTACCAGCGGATTTGATCGTCATATGTTATAAAAGACTGTGTAGACCATTTATTACAGTGATTCTGTCAGCTGCTCGACATCCTTCAAAATATGCACTATACCAATCATAAAAAGGATGATCGATGGCTTATTGTGAACCTGTAATTAGTTTTCTGTTGAAATTGATTATTGCCAGGTAATCTGATAACTTCATAAAGTTGAAATCTAATCATTTAATTTCTTTGTAAAAAAATCGCTTGGTCTAAAAGTCATGTATATACTATGTTTGCATAACCTTCACCCATTCTTAATCCATTGTCTGAAATTAGACGATAGATAATTGTTAGTTGATTCTTGGACCTTTGCTGCTGGTTTTATTGCGCGTTTGACTGCTCGTTTTACTGCTGGTTTTACTGCAAGCATTGTTTCTGGTTTTACTGCAGACAGATATACTGATTCTAATGTTGGTGTTACTGTTGGTATTTCTGTTTTTTTAAATCTTTTTGATAATTTTTGCATTATCATTTCTCCACCTTTTTCGCAATTCTTTTTCCGATATGTTCAGCGCGTGCTGTCAAAGCTTTTTTTCCAATTGCTGAACCAATTTTCTTCATTGGTTTGAAAATACTGTCAACAATTAAACCAGATCCTTTGTGTTCGTAGACAAATTTACCCAACGAAGGATGGTATATTCTTGTGAATTCGTATGGTTTCATTTATCATATCATTGCAAAATTTGTTTCAAAATTAGTGAAAATGACGTGTCTGATCCATTGAGATCAATGATACGGCGTTTACCATCAGTAATGTAAATCCTAATGCTGCTTATAATGTTTTTGTTTATCGGCTTATAAGTGACTCTTTGCGGCTCCAATGTGAAGCTATAACTTGGTCGTAGAATTGATGTGCTGACACTGTATACTATGTCACTGTCACTACCATCGATAAGACTTTCATGAACGAGGTCACAGTGAATACTCAGAATGTCCGTATCTTGATATAGACTCGGTGTATATGTGCCATAATTGTATTCTTCTTTCAAACTTTTTTTACGACCAATTACATAATTAAAATCAGACCTTCTTAACTCTACTTCATAATCTTCATTCAATGTTATCAATACTTTTAAAGTGCTGTCGTTGAACTCTAATGTTATTGGGAATTCAATAGTGCCGTCTGAATTTTCAATTTTTGTTTCATATTGAATGTAATCATTGATTCTTGTGTTGTTCTATACTGCTGGTGCAAATTTGAGGTCTTTGAAACTCGATCCTTTGTCTGAGTTGTATTTTGTTGTTTGATTATTATAACCAGGATTAATGTTAAACCAGGTAAAGCTAATATTGATTACTCTGTTCAAACCGATGTTGTATTGTCTGTTGTTGTCTAATTCAATTGGTTTTGAGAAATTTATAGTAAAATCTGATGGTGTATTGGTTCCTTGACCTTTGACTAAATAAGATGACAGCTTCATTTCTCTTGATGTATGCATGGAAAACCTGTTTTAAGGCCTTTCAATTGGTTTCTTTTATGAATTGCTTCGTCTAATACTTTTTTCAATAGCTTTGTTGCTCTGGATTTTGTCACATCAGACCTGTTCAGTTGTTTTCTAATATCATCATAATTCATTAAACTCAAATCATCTAATATCATATTACCTGAGTCTTGTTCACCAAGAGAATAATCAATTTGCTCCTCTTCGTATTCACGTGGTAAATCTGTATCTGTTGGTGGCATATATTCAGAATCAATTGAAAATTTTTCATTTTTTTAAATGTCTTGAATACTTTGTTCATATACTGGTGGATTTGGTAACAATTGTTTATCTATTTAAGGTTTAATACCTTCTCATAAAGATTGTCAAAATCGTAATCTGGCATATAATACGCAGCAAGTATTCTATAATCTGGAATTTCGTTTTTCTTTTTGACTTTTCTTTTGTGAACAAAAGAGCAAGAGCTATCAAATTTGTCAAATCATCCAATTTTTCAGTTATTGGTAAGAAAATTTTCTGAAAAGATATTTGACTCGTTTGTTCGCCAAATTTAGGATTAAAAATGGCCTCTTGAACTGCATTGATATTCTTACCCAGTTCAGTTTTTCGTTTTTTAAGTTCATTCCATTTAAGTAAACTCTGTATAATAAGATTATATAACGAACAGTATAACTAGCAGTTGAACTTACCTAATATAATTGTATAACGAAAATTCCTAATTTTGACACAAAAGATGAAACTGTAACAAATTACAAACAACTGTATGATTTCATGCCTAATCAATGTTTCGAAACGCTAATATGTGCTTCAAGTGGTGGAGATAACACTAATTTGCTTCTTAACATGATTTACAAGTTGCTTTATAATGAAAAACATTGAACAGAAAAAATTCCAAAATTTGATGAAAACATTTGAACCAATAAGCAATGATGTGGGATATAATGTGATTGAAATGAGCAATGAAAAAATAAAACCGGTTTCTTCATTGGATGGCAACAATCAAAATTGGTGACATTCGATGATTATGTTTGTCAAAAGAATCAAAAAGACAAAGTCAATTATATTATCAGAGGAAGACATAAAAATTGCAGTGTAATTCATCTCAGTCAGTCATGTTAAAAAACACCTAGAGATATCGGACTCAATTGTTCTCATTTTTGTTTATTTGATTTTCCAAGCAATAATAAAAAATCACCAATATGTCATGAAAATGAACATAAAACAACAGTTTGCAAAAGCCACTGAAGAACTATTTTCGTCTCTTTATGCAGATAAATCTGGAAAATTAATCACAAAAAATTTTAATGAAAAGATTCAATGTAGCATAATTATATGAGCTATTCAAATGGTATTCTAAACTTTGATAAAAAGTACAGCTTACATGGTGAAAAAATAATCTCAATACCTGGGCCCCCTTAGGCCCAAGGGAGATCCAGCTGATATGACAAAAATTTTATAATTGGATGGAAGCCAAGCAATGACTGATAATTTAGATATGGAGAGTAAAACAATGAAAAATCTTTCCAATCCAACGTCAAACCAAAATGCTACAACAAAGTTTTATGTTGATTCTGAAAATGCAAAATCTTTATTGATGGAACAAGAGTAACGACGGGCAATTTAGATATGGGAAGTCAAAGAATTAAACATCTTGCACAACCATCTGATGAAAAAATCATCAATCTTGAAGAACCCACATTGAGTGATGATAAAGGAACCAAAGAGGTAAGTCGACACTGAAGATGCAAAATTATACTAATCAATGGGACAAGAACAATGACTGAAAATTTGAACATAAACAATGAAAAGACCATGAACCTTGCCGATCCAACATCAAACCAAGATGCAAGCAAGAAAAGGTATGTTAACACTGTAACAAATAACATAAATATGACCAATCATTACATAAAGAATTTTCGATCTCCAATATATTCTTTCGATGCAGCAAACAAGGCTTATGTTGACCCTAAAACTTCATCAGCAAGTGATCCATCTATAACCAAAGATTTAAACATGAAAGACAATAAAATAACCCATTTAAAAGGTCCAACATCAAACCAAGATGGTACAACAAAGTTTTATGTGGACACTGGCGATGTAAAAACTTTCTCAATTGATGGAACAAGAGCAATGACTGGCAATTTGAATGTAAATAACAAAAAGATCATCACATTGGGTTTTCATCAGATGGGTCAGATGCAATTAATAAAAGGTATGTTAACATGGTAACAAATAGCATCTTGAGTGGTAATGAAAACTTTCAAGGAAATTGTAAACATCAACAATCCTCGAATCATGAATCTACACACTCCAACTTCAAATAAAGATGCTTCAACGAAAGAATATTTTGATACTCAAATTTCATCATCAACAGATCCAACAATAAAAAAATTTGGACATGAAAAACAAAAAAGAGCATTACAACAAAAGAACATGTTGACACAGCTAAGTCCACTCTTTTAAAGATTGATGGAAGCAGATCAATGACTGATTACATGGACATGGGTGGAAAAGAAATCACAAACAAAAATAAATACCAATTCAGTTACACAATCTATTTTTTTCGACTCCAAATGGATCGATGCCTTTGCGGGTTGTCAACGAACAAACTTTGATGTTCATCAAACAACTCATCGATTTACTAGGTACATTTCATTCTCTAAGCATTAACATTCCAGGAAAACCTGATTGGTTGCGTCGATCAAATTATGATTCTTTAGGAGACGATTTCAGAAATTTCAATGCAAGAAATAAGAAAATAATGAGTGTGGCCAATCCAGCACCAAACCAAGATGCTACAACCAAATAATATGTTGACACTGGCGATGCAAATCTTTTTTAATTGATGGAACAAGAGCTATGACTGGTAGTTTGAATCTAAATAACAATAAAATAATCAATCTGGAATACCCCACAAACAACCAAGACGCAGTCGCAAAAAATTATTGAAATTGAAAATTAAACTTGTCCTATGGCACTACAGATCGAAAAAACACATTTGCAAACATCGTTAATAAAAGTGGACAGTTCAGTGATAATCAAAATATCACAGGAGTCAAATTCATTGACAAAGACTTTCATAAAGCTAAAAAAAACTTATGGAATTACACTGCACTTAAATTCCGACAAAGGATATTATTCATCTTGCGCTGGATTAGACATTTATGAAATTCCAACTGGTGAATATTCCTCAATATTTGAATTATACTTCCCTTCTGTATCCATTGACTTTAAATTAGTCGTCATATTAGCCACCAGTATTGTTGAGACAATTTCAAAGGTGTCAACCAATAAATTCACAGATCATGCCATATCATTGGGTCACATGCACAAGTACAATAATACAACACCAGACTATCTGATGATAGATTTAGTATTGAAAAACAAAGCAGGTGTGTCTTATACACAAAATTTAACCATCCACATGGTGGTTTCATGCATCGCAGGTTATCACAATGACGTTCCACTCATAAAAAATGATGGAACAATCGAATTCATCCCACCTGTTAAAGTGACCAAAGAGTTAAAAATACGAGACGCAGTCAATGATGATAATCCTATCACAAAAAAGAGTTTGATAAATGTATCAAAAGGGTCTATTAAAGAGCCAAGATGAAACAAAGTCAAAAACAATACTTTCAATTTCATCCAAATTCAGAAACATCAAAAGTCTTCACAAACGACACCAGTTATTGGTCTTTAAATCCCAAAACAGATATGAGATTCCTCACAATGAAAAAGGATTATATTCCATACAGGTAGCAGACATTGTCAAAACCACAAAAGAGGACAATTTACTACTCAGTTTTCAAGAAGCCTTTTTCACAACAACACCAGAAAGAGCCAGATCCGTAGAAGATTTTTACTTCACCAATTCCAACACCAACAATAAATGGCGCACCTTTCACTTCGATTCTCAAATTTACATTCAAAAGGACGGTGGGTTATGGCTTCAATTCGAAGCAGAATCATTTCGCATAGATCAATCAGACACATCAATGCAATTCTTAGGGACAGACGACAGTTACGTAATAATCGTAAAACAAGATCTATGATATATGACTTATTCGAACGGGATTCTAAATCATGACAGAGACAAATCAAATTAAAAACACACAACAAAAAAGTCTACATCAACAACAAAAAGATCATTTATAAAGGTAGACTAGTTCACAACAACACAAAACATGCAATATTTCCATCAGGAGTCAATGAATCAATCAACATAAAAAAAGCAGAAACAATGGTTTCGAAACAGATCCATCAGACAACAAAAAATTCAAAATAATCAACGGCTTCAAAACAAACAATGAAGTTCATTTAAATTGAAGGCTTTCAAAACATTTTCTAAATTTGAATACTCCAATAAGGTTTACAATTCACGACACTAACAACGCCTGGCATACAGAAACTGTCTAAACAGTTTTTTAAATAATCGACAATTCTGGAATACCTTTGGTGGTCGACTTAGAAGGAAGTAGTTCGCTACTAGATGGGTTAAATTATTCTTACATCTTGATTGAAAAAATAATATGAACAATACATGCAAAAAGAAGTCATTATTCAATTTCAATCACATTGATCCCAAATTAGATCCACAAATAAAAGAAAAATTTGATAGTCTGTATCATCATTATCGCAAACAAGAATAGACACACAGAAAAACATTTAGATACTACAAATATCTTGATCTTTGCTGCACCATTGGATCAGCCACTCTTTTTTGTGGAGGAATATTAGCGGGTGGTTTGACAGCAAATCCTGTAATACTTGAATCAATAACAACATCAGGAATGGTCTTAAAAGCCTATGCAGAAACCAAAAACTTCAAAAGAAAGGCAGAAATGTCTCGATTTGCTTTCACATCTTATGCAAAAGTATTAACCCAAGTAAGATTATATTTGAGAGGCATAGAATACGACCAAAGCAAATTCCCAACAAAAATAAATCAGTTAGATTTAATAATAATAGACTTGTCTCTTCCAGCCCACAGATACGATGAGAAATACAAAAAGAAATTCACAACTAACAAATGATTTTCCCTATTTCATTTATTTTACTTTCAATTACATTTTTCCAATATTGCTCATACTTTTTCAATGTTCTTTTTGAATTTTGAATTTTAATGTTCGTATCAATAGACATCACATGAAACAATTCTTTCATTATTATAAAACCATAAAGGTTTGAAGAAAGCAATTTACTTTACGGTGGAGATATGAAGCATCGTTCAACGGCAAAGTACGCTCATACTATATATGTAAAAACAGTGGATTAAAGAAAGTTTCAGTTTCTCTGAAAAAATTAAAACATCTCTCTTCGTGAGCGCGCAGCGTCATAACTTATCTTCCTATGTGAGACTCTGGCGCTTTAGCAGAAAAAGAAACAGATTACGGCCTTAAGAAAAATATGTTTCGTAGAACCCGTCGCTGGTATCCAAAGATTCAAGTGAAGGGTATCTCGACCTTGAAACGCTTGTGCACAAGTAGAAAACGGAAATTCAATTCGAATCTAGCGCGATCTCTAAATCGTTCGTCCAACCCTCCTAAAATCTCATATTAATCAATCTTTTTTTGTTAAACTTTGTTTTATCTAAAAGTTTAAACACATTTAAAATTCTATTCATTTGGTTTAGCGTCAAATGAATAAAATTTTCTTTTTCAGTTCTTAACAAATGATTTAACAGATTATATTTTCTATCATAAACAGACTTCTTTCTAAATTTGCGCCAATTCTGCCAATAATCAACGTACTCTTCATCATAATTATATCCATGAACCAACTCAAAATTCACACAAACATTTTCACTAAATTTTTGTTCAGCAAACATATTTTCACAACAAACAAACTCATCAAATGAAGAATCAATGAAAAAAATTAATCGCAATCGCGGAGCTGTGGTTTTCAGAATAGTATATATTAGAGAATGATCGCTGATATCAGCATCCACTACGCCCGATAAAAATAATCTTCTTGTGTTATTTGTTAAAATCAAGTCGAGTAAAGTTGACGATGTCTTGCCTATACGAGTGGGTGATTTAATCAAATTTTTGAGACCGTATACTTCTAGTAAATCTCTTAAGTGACCACCGTCCTTAGGATCCAACAGATTATTATTGAAGTCTCCAACGCAGATGACATCGTTTTAAAACGTTGTAACAACTTCAAATAACCTGCTCAGTTCGAATTTCAATGGAGATGTTGGAATAGATGGCGGCCTGTAAATCACCATAACAGTGAGCCAGGACTTTGCTACCTTCACTTTCAGTATGATGTGTTCAGTCCTGAAGTTTGACGTGTCAATACCATTTTGATCTCCAAGCTATTTTGTCACAGTGAAACAAAGATCACTTCGTACGAATATCATAAGCCCCCCACCATAAATGTTTCTATCTAATCGGCACATACGAAAGCCCTGAATGGCAAACTGGCTGTCAGGATATGTTTTAATTTCGAACCTTCCGCGCATAAGCCAATTTTTGATCTCAAGGAATTTAAAGCCGGCTATGCTGTTGGCATTGATATGACCGATCTTTACGTTTCTCCGATGCGTTTTAACCAAAGTGTCAAAACTCGCTCACAAGTGTTGTTGTGGTCTTCGTTCTCATTCAGAGTCTGGTCGGTGTCACTGCAAGAACTGTAGCTGGTATCAATTTCACTAACGTCAGCAAAAGGTAGTTGTTTTATCTCGTCCAAGCAGGGAGGACATATCCAACCGGCGGTTTCAGAAGCCTCTAATCGCTTTTACTCTTTTGGCGAGATTCCACCGCACTTGATATGAATTCGTTTAATTCGTTGCAACACACAGCCCAGTGATTTTTAGCTACCACTTTTATACAAACGGTGCAACTTTCCGGTCCTGGATTAGGGCTAATGTCTCCACTTAGACGAAGCAGTTCAAAGTTGACGCTTGCGGTGCTGTTGCTCTAGTAGTGAAATCTAGACTTGGTGTACCTCGTATGACACCTATTTACAAGATGGCGGCGATTTGCAGCAATGAATGATATCAGAAACATACGCACTGGTCTCATTTGCTCGGTTTCTGAATTCGATAATACATTAAGGTCATTATATTCCCTTCCAAGACAGCAAAGCAATTGTAAGAGGAGAAAAGCGTTTCAACGGAGCCGTGACATGCACGTGTTTGCGCCATACTAATAGGGTTATGCGTAAGTTTGACGTGTAAAGATTCTATTTCAATCGTCACTACTAGTTATCGCTGCTAAATCATCACTGCTAATCGTCGCTGTTAGATAATCGCTACAAGCTTTTTGTTATCGTTCACTACAAGCTATTTACTACCTTTAGGAGCTTGACCAAAGTAAGTTTTTATTTCTTTTACATTTATGTTGTTTACCTTTTATACGTATTATTGGTATAGTTCACGTATTCAGTTTTCCGTACGATCGATTCAATTTTAGTCGGCAGGTTAATGTTACATTTCGCAACGCATTTTTCCTAGATAAGTTTCTGTTGTATTTTCTTTTAGTTCGAACCACACGCACGCAAACTCATCAAGCAAATTTCGTCTTAGCGCTATCGTCTGAAAACAATAAAGATCACTGTGCGCGTTCGAATTGTCCATTCATTCGCTTAGGTAACCTCTCGAGGTTACGGGCTAAAATAGTTAAATTGTACAAAATGCACAAAGTAGCTGAATAGGTGCAACAGCTTAACACCGCCAAATTGGCTAAGACACTTTAATTGGACAAATGCACAAGCAAGCGTCTTTGCTTTGACTAGTTAAAATGATTTAATTGAGTGAAAACGTTGAACTGGAAAAAGTGCAGAAACTATACGAATTGGTGCAACTGGACAAAATGGTTAACTTCACAAAAAAGCTTCAATTGAACAAAATGCACAGACTACATCAATTGATTTAGGTGATCAAAACGGTCAAATTAGCTGAAACGGTTTAAGTATACAAACTATAACAACTGGTTCAACTGGGTCAACTGGCTAGACTAATAAAATTAGCTAAAATGGTTAGACTGGGCAAGATGCGCAAACTAGATGAATTGGGCGCTAATAAGGTTGACTGGAGAAGTATGGAGACGGCTAGGTCGACTATCTCTGGCAAGGTGTTCCTGACAGCAAACCCAACTCTGTACTTTCTGCAATCCTTAAAACTCTTACCATGCGGGAAGAAAGTACAGTCTTTCTCCTTCAATGATCCTGGGTCAGCTAGACACGTTTCTTGTAGAGATGGTAATGTCTGCCTGCGTCTTAGTAGCTCGTCAAAAATAACTGCGGACTTACTTGCGTCACTGATGTTCTGGAGTTCTTCAAGTCCTGTTATCACCGTGCAGATATTCCAGCATCCCAGTTTAAGAGCTGCTCTCTTTTTGTTGCTTGTTTTTGTTTTTTTCCTGCCTGGTGTGGGTGTTGCGGTCTGCTTGTCGGTCAGGAAGGCAAACCATAGTGAAACAGCATTTTACCGGCTGGGAGCTGCGCAGCTTGAGGTGGGAAGTACGTGTTTACTGTGATGCGAAAATCCCTCCCATCGACGGAAGCAATCCCTGAGGCCTAGCTCTATGCAAATCGAGCGATGGCCTATAACTTGTACACTGCTGCTTCCCATTTTTTCCACGCTATGAAGCAAAGTTGGAGTGACTTCTCTACGGTGCAAGCCAGGGTAGGGTAATAAGGAGGATCACTTGTTGGCCATTCAACACCACGCAACTGGTGAACCCAAGTGAACGAAAAAAGGCTGATAGTGCTTAGCACCAATGACATCGCAAGAACTTTTAGACTATGACAAAGTTTGCCACCAAACTGCCTCAGAGGCTCCAGCTTTCGATCTCTATTTGGGTTTACTGCTTAGCTGTCTCTTTTCTTGAAGATCTCCCACCAGGTAGTGAGTCATCTATTCCGTAGCTTAACCAAAGCTGCTGGATATTGAATGCATGTTTAGAGACCCAGGGTCATTGCATGTTGAGACTGTTTAGCAAACCTTGGTTCATCTTGGGTTTGAAGTCAGAGTTTTCTTTCTCCTAGGCGAACTGCCTAAAGGACTAAAGAGTTCAGCCTGCCCACCAAGTCATGCTGCTGGGCACTCGGTCGCGCCAAAGTAGCAAAACTCTGTGAAAACGGGGACAGCACGGCGAGGTAGAGCTCATGGAATTCTCTACTGCATAGCAAATAAACACGTGGCTACCACTTTACCTGGAAGGGAGAGGCTTGAGAAGCGCATCACCTTCCTTTGTAAGCAGACATTAGCCCAGACCTCACTTGTTCCCAGAAAGTACATAAACTAGTTAAAAGAAGATAAACAAGCGGCTAGACTACTTGCTCTTTCATGCCAAAATCTCACGCTACATTATGGAAAGGCAATACAGCCATTTTTTGTCATTCCACAGTGCATGTAGTACCTCTTCTTACTTTTTATTTTACGGTATTCATCTAAAAAAGTTAGAAATTTTTTCTCTGATAGCTTATTTTCTAATGTATTATTATTATTATATGACTATTATGATATTATAATATATTAGTAAAGAATAGGTATTAAAATATAGCCATAAAAGCATAGTTATGTAAATGGTACAGAAATAGTTTTATAAAATAGTAAAGAGTATTGGTTGTTATAAATAGTTAAGAAGTATGATTATTAAAAAATAGTATATGATATATACCTTACATACATAAATAATTATAAGATGATATTCAATCAAAATTAATAGTCAGGTCTTCAATAACCTTTTGTTTCTCCTTTGTTATATTGGCTACTACCTCCTTTTCTAGTGTTTTCTGTGGATCTGGTTTTCTTGTAATATCTCTTACCACCCATCTTTGTATCAATAGACAGAAATGATTTATCGCTGTTGTCTTTGATTACAACTCTTTTGTCTAGTAATCCTACTCTCTCTCCCCATTAATTGCTGGTTATTCTCTACTGTAACATTATACTGCATCTTCTCTCTCTTCTTTAATGGATTGGATCTTACGTTTATCAGTTTATTCTTGTATTTAGTAACATACTCATTGTTATAAAAACTCTCTACATTCTCAAGTGATTTCTTATCAGAAGATGGATCTGAAACGACTAGTACACTAGTCGTTATACACTTGGCTCTTCTTGTTGGATAGATGCCACTTTAACCTCATCTTAAGTTCTACAAAAGTTAAACCCAGATATACTCTTCCATCATCAAACATAATAATGTAGATCTTAGTATTTTTAAACATACTACTAAACTTACTATTTAATAGCTCCAACCTGGACTGCACTCTAATGAAATACCTATTTTGACCTCTTTAAAGTTCATATGAATGTACTCAAACTTCTTAATTGTTTTTTTTATGCATACGATGAACATCGTAGATATTATAGTTCTCATCAATATCTGCACCCTGATACTTGTACACTGTTTCACAGAAACTTCGGATGAAGTATTCTGCGAACTCTCCATGGTAAACCATTCATTATTTACCTTTACTTCTTTATTGATGAAAGAAGCACCATTAACCTTTTCCTCTTTGCTGAAAACTAGAGTTTGATCAAACCTTTCATCATTACATTATATGTCTTTAATAATAAATTCTATGGTATTGAACATCTTCTAGTCTTTAATATTTTTTGTTGCAATGATTGGAGAACCAACACATACCTTATATTTCTCAGTCTAACCATAATACTTGAATTCAGTGGTTTCATATTTCTTGTTGTCCACGAATCGGTTAATTATAACATTTGGTATTAACCCTTATTCTGGCAGAATTCACTAAACAGATATTTTTATTGAACTTACCCGCCGGTTCAAAGTAAGTAGATATTCTTCCAGTATCGAAGAATACTTTTAACAAATCATTGGTCTCTGTATCATACCTACTGGTACTTTCAATGTATCGTGGTGTCTTTGTTTTGCTGCACATGTGATTGATGGTAATAGAATACTGATAATTGTAATGCACTTGACTACCAGTTTCAACGGGTTCACATTGATTGTAATCTCCAAATAAGTATACCTTATTGTTGAACATAGTAAAGGCTTTGTAAATCTTGATCATCCATTTGTTTGGTACCATACTAAATTCTTCAATGAATATACCTTTTCTCTAAAGGCTTTTCTATGTACATTCTTTATCCAACCATTCACAAAAGTAACTATCAAATGTAAAACACATACTATTTAATTGTTCTTTGTCATAGCCAAAGAATATCAATCTATTTCTAACATTCTCTACTGAATTGCACCGCGTTCGCCCCCTATCGAGTTCGCCCCCACTTTATGCCGTGTTCGCCCCCACACTTTTCGAGTTCGACCCCATCAAGTCGAGTTCGCCCCTGGATTGAGTGATATCCAGATGAGTTGATTTGTGACGAAGGCACTAGCGGAATGTGCCAAATATCACGTCAACGACGACCATTTTGAATTTCGGCAATTGCGTGGAACCTGCTTGGGAACTGGGTTGACGGAATCAACTAAATACTGTGCGTGGGATCTGGGGTTACCAGAAATAACTGTATACACTGAACTTGTGATAAAGAGAACCACACGGTTTATCTAACGAACACGAAATGTGGTGATCGTAACAACCAGACTCGAGAAGATGCAAACCACGCTTTCATTGCGACAGCATTGCTTAAGTTGTTAGACTTGTACCCGTTTAGCTTTATTTATGAAATTAAGACTGAAGAATTTACGAATCACCTTACGAATCAACTTATCTGGATATCACTCAATCAAGGGGCGAACTCGACTTGATGGGGTCGAACTCGAAAAGTGTGGGGGCGAACTGGATTCTGCTGGAATTGGTAAATGTAAGGAACTTCTGGTAAATACTATCAAATGCATGAAGAGATACATGACCATGGCATTCTCTGACCCAATGAACAAGCCCTTCAGTGGTTATTCTTGATGCATTTAACACATAACTACATATTTCATATTTTAGTTTGTTATAATTGTAACTCTTAAAACCTCTCTTACCTTTTACTTGATTCCAAACATAATAAAAAACACGAGTATTATCATCATGTGATTTAATCTTCTTCTGATCTCTCAATGAATAACTCTCCAACCTCAATGCGCCCATACTATGCTTAGCAAACTGTTTCTTATCTTCTGAAATGACAATACCACCTAACTATCAACATAATCTCCTAAAAGCATAGTAAATTTGTTCTTCAAAGAGCGTACATAAGAAACTTGTACATATTATCCTCAATAGGATTTGGTAATTCATCTGTGAAAGGACCATACGTCTTCTGTCTGAAACCTGTATCAACGATTTTACTCTCTATAGTCTTTTTGTTTAGCATATCATAATCATCCTGTTTATAAACCGTCCTTTTCTATGTTATCAAACATTGTTGCTGTCTGTACATCAACAAGAATAGATGCTTTCTTTCTCTTACCCATAATGTTGTCTATTCTTCTTTCAAACAGGTTTGCATATGGCATATTTTTTCCCCGGCTCCAGACAATATCATTTCATCAACGTTCATCTTCTGTAATAAAAATAATAGAAAATGTGTTTTCTTAAAGTCAAAAATATATTATTGAAATGTCCCTTTACATGGTGGTTTCATGGATAAAAACTATGTATAGTTATATATTTTCAGGTGATAATTTTATGGAACTCCATCAAACGCACCATCAGAGACTCCTTTGATATCAAATTAATAATACAATGTCTGCATCTGATTCTCACACCCTGCATATGATCAATGACTTCCCTGATTATCTCATCATAGTCATTTTCAATAATGAGTTTATACTGATTTTCTTCATACTCTATTTTCATCTTCATTTGCCCAACTGATATTGTATAATCATTACTTGGCGATTTGAACTCCACACAAAGGGCTGGTGATTATTTGCTATTATCAAATCTGGTACACCTTTTTGATATCCTTTTCTCCAAGAGTCTATCCTCTTATACACGGTATTTGGATTTTTACCCAATTCTACCATTAGTATGGCATTTGCATCATACTTTCTGATATATTGAACCACCTTGTAATGGAGATTAGTGTCTGTTTCCACTTTTAACATCTTAGAACTCCTGGAACTCCTTAGCTGATTCTAATTTACTTGATAATAGAAGGGAGTAAAAACCACTTTCATTTAAAAAAATTGGTCTCCGGCCATTTCCCGTTGTTTTCAGGGGTTTTACTCTCCGGTCCTCCTGATCCACATGTTTTGTGATAGCTTGAACTGTGTCTACATAACCTAATATCTTAGTCACTTATTTACCCTTGAACCATATATTCTGTTTATCATCTACATATGCAATTAATTGAATGTTAAGATCATTATTATTATATACCGTTTCAATGAAAGTCATTATACTGTATATACATAATATCTCTTTAAGCCATTTTATAATGTGCTTTAAAATTTGTTTGTTTATGAGAGGCCTAAAGTATGGGGTCGTTTTTACACCCTCAGCTCTGAGCTACCTGAAAAATGGTTTTCGTTATGAAACAACTCTTAGAAGTAATTCTTATACTCTCTTTTTTTCAACTCATTAGTCTTCTTTCCTGTTACCACCCTTGTTCTTGTTCTTGTTCTTGAAAACCACTTTATTATCCTCTGTAATGGTAACAACTAAATGACTATACTGAATAATGAAATTCCACATCACCAAACATGTTGAAATAAACAGCTCCCTTATTCTTCTTTCTACTTGCTTCTGTTGGTGTCATTTCTATGCTTGAAGGTTTTGTACTGATTAGCTATGATTCTACAATCGTCGATTGCGTAATTTCCGTTTTGAGTCAAGTGTCACAAGGTCAATGAAATTAGAAGGAATCCTAGTTGTCCTCGAACGCAGTCCATTAAGATCAAAGCTACAAGATTAAGGTAGTAAAATAACAAGAATTCTAACCGGAGAAAAGAGATATGATTTCGCTTACGTAATTTCTACTTGCATGTTCTCGGATTATGTTTGTTATCACGGTTATTGCGCGTGATTTAATTCTAAAATAGTATTATCGTGTACACTCTATGTGTACGAGTGATCGCACCATAGCACATGTTATGTATAGTTTCTAATAATTCGTAATAGTATGTTATGCTCTAAATTACCTTTCAGTTTTTACGTTTTCTAGTACCATATCCCAAGAATAAAAGACAATCAATTAGATACAAAGATGAGCGCTTAAAGTCAGTAAATCTCCGCCTCCGACCAGATATGTTTACCTTGAGAATCTAAACCCGTTACAAGTTTTGTTGTTGTATTTTAGCGCTATCTGTGGCAGTATGTAAAGATGCTGTGTGTTGCTGTGAACTGTGAACTATTTCCAAATTCTCCGTTTTATTGTTCTATTACATCTTTCAACAACACTGATTTTTTCGTCATTTTCAGTTGAGTATATTGTTATACCGTATTTGTCGAAGGACTCTTTTATTTGTTTATTATAAAATTCCTTGCCCTTGCCAAACCACAAATATTGTGGTTGTCTGCCTTCTTTAAAGTTACTCCTAAATGCTTCAGTTACAGTTTCACCTTTTTTGTCTCTTAAAGATTTTATCCATCCATATTTACTATACACATCAATAACCATAAGCAGATATTTATACCCCTTATTCCATTTACTGAATTTCTGTATGTCGACTAGATCTGCTGCCCATATTTCATCAACATCATGAAAAATAACATGCCGTCCAGTGAAATCTCTTTTTATCGGTCTATGTGGTTTGTCAGCTAATTGTTGTTGCCAACTCGATGGCTTTTTCCGTTTTTTGAAAGACCAAGACTAAGTTTCTCTTTGTGTTTATAGCATTCCTAGCAAGAAAATGTCCCCATTGTCTATCCCTACATGAAACTGCATCAAGTGATCTATCATCTTTCTGTCGGCCTCGTTCTTAAACTTTCTGTCATCCTTGCAAACATTATAATCCAAATCATGCTGCATTGCAATGGCATCTGTGGAACTAGTTGGTTGGTCCCATATGGCAAGTATTTCACCTGTGTTTCTGTTACAACTTAATTGTTTATCAAATGGATTGTATGGTCCTGTATAGTGATGCCCAAGTAATGTCCAATGGACTAAGTTTGGCTCTCTTTGCATAACTAATTATCAACAACCTAGTTGCTTACGGATTTTCTCCACCATTTCTTTTATACTGCACATGCTCTCTTTTATATCCAGTTCATTTTTTTTAGCTTCTGTTTTACTCATTCTTGGACCAACAAGAGTATCTTTCAACACACTTATTGCCTCAGGAACAGCAGGTCTTTTTGTTGGATTGGCTTGTTCAAGGAGTATGTCAATGAAACCTTCTCCATACATTTTATCAAGATCCTTTCTATCAGATTCATACCTTCTATTGGGTCTTACTCTTGTTGATAACTGATCTAACGCCTGTCCAGCAAGACTATGCACATATGGTTTAATTTCTCCAGGGCATAATCAACAGCCTTCTTTTGCAGTTTTTTATCTCTCATGGCTTCTGATGCTTAATATCTGCCGGCTTCAGCTGTCTTCTTCAATATAATATAGTAGCTGAGTACAGAAACAATATAACTAAACCAAGTGAATAAAGGGGTAAGTTTCTAAAGAAACTGTGGTGCTGCGTCGGTGGGAGAGTATAGCAGGTAATTTAGTGTTAACAACTGGGTTGAAAATGTAAATTAGCCACCGTAAAGGGTAAAAAAGCTGACGTTTCGAGCGTTAGCCCTTCGTCAGAGCGATTAGAGGAATTGTGGGTTGTGTGTGGATTTATATGTAGGAAGTGGAGCTACGCCATTGGTGGGAATGTGGTGACGAGAAAACAGGAATAAATTAGTTGAATGAAAAGCGCTCGTTGATTCCGTGGGGATTAAGGGTGCCGATTTGGAATATAAATTTTTGTTCTAGTGTTTTACGGCTTTCCGAACTGCCTAGATGTAAGGAAAGGCCGCAAACTGCCATATGCTGTTTAGAATGATGAGGAAGATTAAAGTGTCTAGCGACTGGTTTGGATGCGTCCTTGTCATTTCTTTCCACATCGCGAAGGTGTTCTCGGAATCGGTCACCCAGTCGTCTCCCTGTTTCGCCGATGTATAACTTATTGCAATAAGTGCAAGTTATGCACACGTAGAGTGATCAATGATCTTAATGGATCTTTTGGGTCCCGATATTTTCTCTACGTTGTGAATGAAAGGACAAGTTTTGCATTGTGAGCGAGCGCATTTAAAAGTTCCAGATTGGTCATAGGTTTGAAATGAACTCCTGATTAAAAAGTTGCCTATGTTTTTGTCGCGTTTGAATGAAATAAGTGGGGGTTGCGAAAAGATAGTGCCAGTCTCTGAATCGTTTTGGAGTAATTTAAAATTTTTAAGAATGATAGATTTAACTGCGTGGTTGTGAGGGTGAAATGTAAGAGTAAATGGAATGCGGTCAGTGTTCTCCTTCTCGGCCGTTTGTAGTGCTGCCTGTCGATCGATTAGTTGGGCACGGTGGTAGCCCGCTTGAACGACAGAAACAGGATAGCCGCGTTTATCCAAAAACTGGCACATTGCCTCTGATTTTTCGGAAAAATCAGAGTCGTCACTACATAAACGACGAAGTCTGAGAAACTGTGAAAAAGGTATGGAGTTCTTGACGTGTGATGGATGTGAGGATGAATACAACAAGTAACTATGTGAATCTGTAGGTTTGTAGTAAACACTAGTGCATAAGCCGTTGCCTTCAATAGAAATTTTGATGTCTAGAAAAGCCAAAGAAGTGTCGGAAATTTGCCAGGTATATTTAAGGGCCGGATGAAAGGAATTGGCGGCGGTTATAAATTGAGTGAGCTCCTTCCTGGTAGAGGAGGTAGCGCCGATGCAATCGTCAATGTAGCGGCCGTAGCTAAAACTAAAAACTAAACCAAGAAAAAAAACTAAAAACTAAACCGTAACTAAACCAAGCCCTGATTCTGGTGTTACATGGTTGGAATTGACAATACCAGATGGTAATTTTGACCACTAGGACATAAACAGCTAACACCTGGCATTTCTGGAATTAAATGGCCACCCTAAAACAGGTGTTAAACTGGAAATGGTAAAATCACGCTTCCGTGTTTTGGTTACCCTAGAAGCAAAGTATCGAAAGGAAAACAAGCAAGGGGATTTTGTGGAATTGGTGGGCTTTGATAAGAAAACTACAACAAGCATAGAATATGGTACCGAAGTATCAAATATCACAAGATCTGTTGAAAGTCTATTTATTCACTCAAATGTGTTAAAGGATAGCATTGATAGTGGTAGAGCATCCGATAAATTATACAGGTTTAGTGTTGATGGTTACCAACTTAGTTACCCATTTCAAGTGGAACCAAAGAGGTCATTGTTTAATAAAATCAGTTCAGCCAGTATAAAAGAGATGAGAATATATATCACAGATGAGAAAAATAGAATAGTTAATTTGAATGATGTTCTAGTTAATATTAATGTTATATTAAAGATGTAAACCCAACAAAATCTACTGTATTTCTGTATATGCCCAGTGTAAGGAGATACAGAAATAAATTTGGTATCAATAGATAATATATAGATTTAGCCAAGCCGAAAAGCGGAGCTCTTACTAGTTTATTTTCCAGCCCTACGCTACACTGAATAAAGACTTAAT